GTAGCAAGTATAGAAGAAAATTAGAGAATGATTATGATAGACTGATATTGATTTTGTAAGAAAAAGAAAGAGTGAGGGGGTATTTANGCTATTTTTTAAACCCCCAACAACTCTTTTTTCAAAAGCCACCCGCCAAGGGACTGGTCCGGTCCCGGTCTCTTAGTGTGCCAAACGGGCCCGGTCCTAACGGTTCCTAACTAAGAACCTGCCTACGAGACTGGTATGAGCCCACCTTTAACGGTCCTAACGATCCCAGCCCGCGGGCCCGGGTCGGGCCTGACCCCGACCCACTTGCCACCCTTAGCATGGATGTATCCTTTTTAAAAAGACATCTTTCCTTTCAAGTCTGCACAATCTCAGGTCAACACACAATGCCATACCCTAGGTAATATTGCAATTTATGATCCATTTATCCTGGAGGATACAAATGATGAGGCTATGGACCATGCTGATGCAAACAGTCCTACACAAGTGACTACTGATCCTATGACACCAATTCCTGCTACTTCTAGCTCACTTGATGCAGGACAGATTGATCCAGTGGAAAGCTCACCTGATACAGCACATGCAACACCTGTCACACATGTTGTTGAGGCACCAGCACACCCCATTCCTGCAGAGTTCAACATCACTCAACCTATGCACCATGGGGTCCCTGATCATGCCACAAAAGTATAATCATTACTAGGAAGTCAACTAGAACTACCAAGACTCCTGGATGGTTGAATGACTTTGTTCACAAGGCACCTCACCATCATACTAATGCAACTGTTTCTATATATCCCATATCATTTATATACGTCCTATAATTATCTTTTAGAGTCTGATTTTAAGGTATTTTGTAATTTGTCAGATGTGAAAGAACCTGAGTCTTATGAAGAGGCAGTTCAGGATCTCAAATGGCTTGAAGCTATGCAACAAGAACTGGAAGCACTCAACGAAAATCAAACCTGGCAGTTGGTGGATCTACCTTCCAACAAGAAGGACATTGGGTGCAAATGGGTCTTCAAAGTGAAGTATAATGCTAAGGGAGAGGTGGAGAGATACAAGGCTCAATTAGTGGCCAATGGTTACACACAACAGTAGGGCCTTGACTATCAGAAGACTTTTTCCCAGTAGTGAAAATGGTAACTGCGAGGACTGTCTTAGCACTGACAGCTATGCAAGGGTGGAAACTATATCAAATGGATATTTTCAATGCCTCTTTGCCAGGTGATATTAAGAAGGATGTCTATATGTTTCTACCTCCTGAACTTCTAGGCCAGGGGGAGCATCCACAGGTGTGCAAACTATAGAGTCCCTATATGGCCTGAAGCAGGCCTATAAGCAATGGAATCTGAAGCTCAGTGAGGCTCTTGTCTCCTCTGGCTTTGTCCAAAGCCACCATGACTATTCTCTTTTCACTAGGAAGTCTGGAACTGATTTAGTGATCATCTTGGTCTATGTTGATGACCTTTTGATCACAGGTTCTTCTTTTCCTCTAAATCAAGAGGATAGAACTATGCTACAACAATATTTCAAGATCAAGGACGTGGGGGAGATGAGATACTTCCTTGATCTTGAAATTGGTAGAAGTCAGCAGGGGATCTTGATCTGTCAAAAGAAATTCACATTGGATACTATTGAAGATTTGGGGCTTGGTGGATCAAAGCATGCCAACACTCCTTTAGAGATCAATCAGAGACTCACTAGTGTAGAGTTTGATCAAGGGTGTCTCAGTGGAGGCAACATTGATAAGCTCTTGCCTGACCCTACAAGCTATCAAAACCTGGTAGAGAAGATACTCTACCTTACCATGTCTAGGCCAGATATTAGTTACAAAGTACAAACTCTGAGCCAGTTCATGCAGACAAAAATATCACATATGGAAGAGGCATTGAGAGAAGTAATGTACCTGAAGAATGCACCAGGTAGGGGAATATTGTTTCCCTCTAAGGCATCAAAATAATTGACAGTACAATGTGATACAGACTGGGCCACATGTCCTGTAGCTAGAATATTAGAAAGTAGTTTTGTGGTGAAGATTGGAGAGTCCTTGATCTCTTGGAAGTTAAAGAAGCAGAGCATAGTGTCGAGAAGTTCAGCTGAAGCTGAGTATAAAAACATGGCAAATGCAATTGCAGAAGTTGCCTGGCTAGTTGGTCTTTTTGCGGAATTGAAGATAGAGCTACCTGTGAAGCTATATTGCAATAGCAAAACAACACTTCAGATTGCTGCAAATCCTATCGACCACAAAAGAACTAAACATATAGAGATCGATTGCCACTTTATTAGAGAAAAGATTTGCGAAGGTCTTATACACACTGAACATGTTTCTTCAGCAATGCAATTGGTTGATATACTGACCAAAGGTCTAGGAAGAACACAACTTGAGTTCTTATTGTCCAAGCTGGGAATGTTCAATTTGTTCACATTACACAACTTAAGGGAAAGTGTTAAAAGTGTTACTTAATGGTAGTCCAGCTGGACCTTAGCTGCTAGTTAGTTAGGTTGATAGTGATGGGTAATTATGCAATTAGATAGTTAGTTAGTTAGATAGTTACATACATTGTAAGTTGATTATTAACTGAGTATATATACATACTATTGTACATTGTTCTTTCTCAATGAATGAAGAAGAAATGGGTTTCATCTTCTCGGTTCATCTCTCTCACATTTCTTAACAGTGAAGCTTCCATGGCAGCTACTTGACACTTATCAATACCAGAAAAACTCTGTATACATGCCTAGATTGTTTGTATATACAGACTTTTTGGGTGCTAAAATCCAAAGTCGAGTAAACTAGAACGAAAAGTATCTCCCAGAGGCTCTATCTTTTCTTGTGTGTTCGAAAATAATGAGAAAGTTTTTAAATATATAAAAGACTCTCGATTGATTGGTTGCATTGTTCCATGAGATTGTATATAATCCAAAATTCACTGATATGATTTTTTTATTGACCGAATCTACATGCGCGAATTTAAATTAGCTAAATATATAAATTTGAAATATCAAATAATTGTAAAAGAAAAAAAGACTTTCACTTTCTTTTGTCTCCTTTGACCCAAAAAAATAACTAGTAGTGCTAGGGAATGTACTAACTTTTTGAAGATTTTATTTTCGCTAGCTTCCATTTGGAATTCCATTTATATGTAATAAAAAGGAAAATATTAGTATAAGATGCCCAATAAAGTGAATCAGTGACCTTTACTTGAGGTGCACTGCGACTGTTTCACTCACTTTTCTTGAGGTGCACTGCTGCTATATAATATTTTCGTGCATACTTATAATGTAATATTGTGGACACAATAAATAAATGAGCAAAAATTAAAATAAAAAATAAAAAGTTCAAATCAGGTAGCGTGGGATTAACGCAGAGAAAGGCAAGAAAGATTCTACATGGACCCCATTTTGTTGTGGCATTACTTTCCAATCTGTAACTCAATTGACATTTTCCCAAAAAAGAAGAAGAAGAGAAACAACTATAAAGAAAACAAAAATAATCATCTAATTAATCTTTAGCTTTGCTATGCTTTTCAAGCGAAGCCGTGCCCTACAATAATATAAATACTCAATACAAATGAATAAAATAAAAAACAAATGTATCAAAGATTTTACAATGATTTGTATAAAAGTATCATTTTAATCTAATTATAGGTTATTATACTTTATCAAATTTTCAATCTTGACAAATTAGGTAGAGGAGATCACTTTAAAAGAAACCGTGTATTTACCTTGGTGGGTAATATAGGTAGAGGTAGTCTAAAAAGTTTTGGGAAGATATGATTAGGCAGAATATGGCAGAGCTAGAACTTACTGAGAATATGACTTTTGATAGGAGGATGTGAAAGTCAAGCATTAAGGTAAAAGGCTAGTAGGTAATCGAGCGTTTCCTTTTTTTTTTTTTTTGTTAGTTTTCATTTATCTTATTTCCTTGTCATTGTCACTGTTTGTTTATTGTGTCATTTTCACTGTTCTTGAGCCGATGGTCTATAAAACAACCTCTCTTCCTTCATACGATAAGTGTAAGGTCTGCGTGCACATTACCCCCATACTCCATGTGTGGGATTGCACTGGATTTGTTGTTGTTGTTGTTGTTGTTAGTTTTCGTGTGACCTATAGATTGCAAGTTCAAGTCGTGAAAGCAGCCACTAATATTTACATTAGAATGCACTATCTACACTATACTTCCTAAAGTGTGACTTTTCTCCAAACCTTACGTGAATGGTGGAATACTTTATATACTAGACTATCCTATTTTACCTTCCTATAGGAACACAAAACAATTCAAGTCAATAGACAAAATTGAACAATATAGGTTTTTTTTAACCCCTCCCAAAATTGACCAATATAGTTGAGTATTTTTTTAATAGCACAGAATCCCACCAAAACGGCGTCGTTAGTTCCTTCAGCTAAGCTTAAGCCGACGGCTAATATACTTAAGAATACGCGGCGTCAAGTCATTAAAATTTTATTCCCATGCACTCACACAATAATGAGAGTGTACAACAACCACACAATAATAATTCCCTTTCCTTTGAAGCCACCTTATTAAGAAGAAGAGGCGCTCCTTTAGCTTTACATTCACAGAACACCGCGTTCTTGAGCCTTGAGCTTTAGCCCTTCAATCTCTTCCAATTTCTCCCAATTTTCAACTTCCAATACAATCAAAATGGTGAGTCAAATTTCATCCCCTTTTTGCTTTTCTTGTAGATTTTAATTTCACACTCATTTTTCTTGTTTTGTTTTTTTTGGTGTGTGTGTGTGTGTGTTTTAGTCGATTTTTTTTGTTAATGGGTTTAGTTTTTGATTTGTGATTGATCTGATAATATAAACTAACTGGGTGTTGTCTAAAAGAGTGATCTTTATGGAGTTCCTGTGTTTTCTTGGTGTGTGTTTGTGTGTTTAAGTAGAAAGATTTTGTTAATGGGTTTAGTTTTTGATCTGTGATTAATCTGATAAGATAATCTATATGTGTTTAAGATAAAAAAAAGTGATCTTTATGGAAATTTTGTGTTTTTTGTTTTGTTTTGTTTTTTCTTGGTGTATGTTTGTTTTAGTAGAAAAATTGTGTAATGGATTTAGTTTTTGATCTGTGATTGATCTGATAAGATTAACTATATGGGCGTTGGCTAAAAAAGTGATCTTTATGAATTTTTTTTTGATTACTTCAGCTTGATGAGTATTTTATTAGAGATGGTAGTGTTGTAATTGAAAATTCTGATTATACTTTATTTGAGTTCAGCTCAGAATTCAGAAATTGTTTGATATGTTTTTATCTCGTGGATCTGATGTGTTTTGATAGTTTCTTGATCTACTGAGTACTGACTTTGTTAGAATTCGATGATTTTCTTATCTTCGCGGATTATGGAGTTCTGTTCTTTGATCTAATCCATGTTTAGAATCTTTTGCATTTGGATTTTCTTTTTCTCTTAACTTGGCTGCTGCGTATTGGAGGAATATATGAATAAGAATGGACTCTCGTTAACTCAATCGGACCAATGAAATATCATTGCTTTTTGAAAAAACTATATCTAGCTGATGATAATTGGCAGCAGCAAACTGATGCCCGGTGCACTAAGCTTTAGCTATGCGCGGGGTCTGGGGGAGGGCCGGATTACAAGGGTCTATTGTATGCAACCTTACCCAGCATTTCTGCAAGAGCTATCTCCACGGTTCGAACCCGTGTCCTCATGGTCACATGGCAGCAGCAGACTGATGCAATGACATTAATTTCCATAAACGAAACCTAGTAAGCATTTAGCATTATAGCTTATGCGTGTCTTGACTGATCAAAATAGAGAACAATGGTGATTTATTGTCATGGTCTCTTTTGATTGAATTAGATGAGAAGTATTGAACTGTTTTGCCTCAAAATCTTGTTATTGATTAAATATTGTACAAGTTCTAACACAATCTGAGGATTTCTGATTATGGTATAGGCTAATGCAGCGTCTGGGATGGCTGTGCACGATGACTGCAAGTTAAGGTTCTTGGAGCTGAAAGCCAAAAGGACTCACCGCTTTATTGTTTTTAAGATAGAGGAGAAACAAAAGCAGGTTGTGGTTGAAAAGGTTGGTGAGCCAACCGAAAGCTACGAGGATTTCGCTGCAAGTCTTCCTGATAATGAATGTAGATATGCTGTCTACGATTTTGACTTTGTCACTGCAGAGAATTGCCAGAAAAGCAGGATCTTTTTCATTGCATGGTATATCTTGATGTTCATAAGCATTTTAAACTACTACAACAACAACATACCCAGTGTAATCCCACATTGTGGGGTCTGGGGAGGGTAAAGTGTACGCAGACCTTACTCCTACCTTGTGGGGGTAGCAAGGCTCTTTCCGAAAGACCCTCGGCTCAAGAAAAATAATTCATAAGCATTTTAAACTAAATTGTTATATTGCCTTTTTGTCTCAATGTGGTTTTATTTCTCTTCAATTCAAGGTCCCCTGACACGTCGAGGGTGAGAAGTAAGATGATCTATGCCAGTTCAAAGGACAGATTCAAGAGAGAGCTCGACGGAATTCAGGTCGAGTTGCAAGCAACTGATCCAACTGAAATGGGACTTGATGTTATTAAGAGCCGCGCCAACTAGATATCGATGGATAGGTATCAGATGGACCTTATAAGTGAGAAAACTCCTAATGCAATCATCTTTACTTATTGGAAATATTTATAGTGTGACAGATACTTGGCCAAGTGCTACAGTTATATGTACTATTTAATGAACAAGTTTTATGGTGTTTGGTATATGATGTAATTTGTTACTTCAGAATTTATTCTTCTGAGTGTTTCACTGGTAGCATGATTTACAAGCTAATTGTATCCATTTTCTGAGGGATAGGATACAGTTAGATTGCTTTTCAATATCTGATTTGACACTTTGCCCTATGATTCTTGTTTTGGAATGGATACAAGCAAGCTTATTGCTGTTCTGATTGGCAGTTGTATAGTTTAATTTAGTTGAAGTTGAGAAGCTGTCAAGAATAAGCTGTGAGAATTTCAGTGTTACCTAAAATAATTGATCTTATTACTCAGCACAATGATATAAGGGGAGTGCTTGACCACTCTTTTATTCAACAGGCTATTCTAGTGTCTTGTTATGTTATGCAAACACTTTGTCAAGTTGTTTTTTTAATCTAGTAAATGTAATATGCAAAAACAGCAGTAAGTTTTTTTTGGTAAGTAAAAAAAATTTATTTGCCAAATCATATTTACAAAGCATAAAAAAAAACTTGCATAGATTGGACAGATGGCCCCCGACTTGCACAATTCTTGCAAGCAGCTAGTGGTGTCAAGTGGGCGAAATGGATAGGGTCGAAAATGGCCGTGTCAAAAATAGATTAGACAAGACGGATTTAACCAATCCGTTCATATTTGTTAAGGATAAAATATGGGTTGAATGATGGATAATATGGGTATAGGTCGGTTCTCTAGACCCATCTGTCGCTCTGGAGAAGGGGCGCGGTGTTGAAATTGTTGAATCGAAGAAATGAGTTGGAAAGGAGTGGAACGAAAGCACACAAGCAAAGACCAAAAGAGACGGGCGTATGACTAAAACACTACTCGGAACGATCGGATCTGTCAAGAACGAGCTAACAACTACAAGGGAAGCAGCTGACTGCGGTCCCTGAGCCCGCAAGCTAAAAAAAAGTTTGACTTGAACCTACCTAAGGAGGAATCCGCCCGAGGAGGGCTCGCGTCTGATTAGCTAGTTGATGAGGCCATAGCTTGCCAAGGCGATGATCAGTAGCTGGTCCTAGAGGATGATAAGCCACACTAGAACACATTTTCATACTTTGTATTTGGATTACTTCATTTAATTTCTTCTGCAGTAATGGACAAGGATAAAACATGGGTTGAATAATGAATAATGTAAGTATCCATATTATCCGTGACTTCTACAATATTGCCATTGTTACGAAAATTCCTAGCCTCAATATCTATTGTTAGAACAACACATTTTTCTCTCCTCTCTTTTGCTCTGTCATGACCTTCTTTCGTTTCATTTCTAATTCTTTTTTCCCAAATGAGTCTGTATACATAAGCTTTTCGGTACACATTTTGTTTCTAGAAACCAAACTCACTCTTCTCATGCACACTATAGAACTTTTCCATATCCCAACACAAGAAAGAAACATCACTATTTATAGGTCTAGAATTTCTTCTATATAATAAATAACAAGAATGAGGTAATAATATAGTAAAATATGGGTTGATACTTGATAATTACAATATTTATGCTTTAGCGAGTAATTGGTGGTAGAACATGGTATTAATGTTTATGTGAGTCACACCAAGAAAAATGACACTTTCTTTGCTAATTTATAGCACTAACATGACAAGAAATAATGTATTTTAATATTATAATTTTAATATTAAAATGCTACTCCAACAAAAATTAATTCATCCGTTTACCTTTTCTTGTCTTCTATACTAAAAATACATGTTCACTTTTACTTGTCCACTAAACTAAATCTAAGAGAACGATAATTTTTTTTCTTGTTTTACCCTTATAATTAACTACTCATTCACAAGACTCTTGAAAATGTTATCATTACGGTCAAACCTCTCTATAACAGCCTCGTTTATTCCGAATCTTTTTGGATGTTATAGCGAAGTGCTGTTATAGAGAACATATATTATAACATAACATAAAAATTGATTCCGAAAAAGCTTGGCTTTTATAGAGAAGTGTTGTTATATAGAAATGTTGTTATAGAGATGTCTGACTGTATTATGAATAAATTATAAAATACATACTTTATTTATTTATTTTCAAAGGGAGTGCAAAGTCAAAAGCACACAACTAAAAGTGCACGGAGTGAATATTTATTTACCAGCAAACACAATTTTCAAAGCCAGTAAATATTTTAAATTAATATAAGAATTCTCTTACCGTAACTTAATTTTTGACGTAATTAATATCTCAAAGTTTGAATTCAACATAGATAGTGTAAATTAAACTGAAGGAAACAGAAAAAGAACTAAACAAGTGAGAGGATGGAGCAAATAGAATTTGTCCGAATACCCAATTATCTTTTAGAAGAGAATAAAATTCATTTTCTAAAATCAGTCGAGTCTCGTTCAAACCAACTGTGATAAACAGTCATTAAAACGAAAGAGTAGTTACTTTATCCCTTTAGCGCCGTTGGTTCTGAAACCCCACCATTCGTTCTACTGCCCAATTGAAATCGCCATTGTCAAAATTCAAAGTGCCATCTTCACTGGTTTTTTCTCGATTTGGAGCACGCATTCTACCTGTTTGTTAAATTGTTTCAATGGCTTTCTCTTTCTCTTCCTTCCTCAAGTGCCACCCATGGCCTCAATCTCAAAATCTACCAAACCCCTTAACTTTGCCTCCTTCTTTGCATTCTCCTAAACCCATTTCTCTCCCATTTTCAACCCCCCAAGAACGTGTTCCTTCAGTTTCTGCCTCCAATTCATCTTCTGTTTCAGCTGTTTTACCTTCCAAAGCAAAAGAACTCTTACCTGAGTTCACTCCAAAACAACTTCTAGACACCCTTCGTAAAGAAAATGACGAAACTTCAGCTTTTCACCTCTTTGAATGGGCTTCTAAGCAACCCCATTTTAGACCAACTTTGTCTATATATGAGGAGATTCTTAGGAAGCTTGGAAATGTGGGGTCTTTCGATTCGATGAGGCGAGTATTGGATGATATGAAGAAATTGCAGGTTGAATTTGTTGAAGGTACTTTCTTTATCTTTATTGAAAGTTATGCAAAGTTTGATTTGTATGATGAAGCTATTGGGGTTCTTGATATGATGTGGAAAGAGTTTGGTATAAAGCCTGGAACCTATAGTTTCAATTTGTTGTTGAATGTTCTTGTTGATGGAAATAAGTTAAAACTTGTCGAAAATGTGCATAGTAGAATGTTGGATGAAGGGGTAAAGGCGGATGTATCGACTTTTAATATATTGATTAAAGCTTTATGTAAAACACATCAAATTAGGCCAGCTATTTTGATGATGGAGGAAATGCCTGTCCATGGTTTGGTGCCGGATGAGAAGACGTTTACGACGATAATGCAAGGTTATATTGAGGAAGGGAATTTAGATGGTGCATTGAGAATTAGGGATCAAATGGTGGCAGCTAAATGTCCTGCAAGTAATATTACTGTGAACCTTTTGATTCACGGGTACTGTAAAGAAGGCAGGATTGACGAAGCTCTTAATTTTGTGCAAGACATGTGTAGTCGAGGTTTTTCTCCGGACCAATTTACCTTTAACACTTTGATAAACGGTTTATGCAAAGCAGGGCATGCTGTCCAAGCCTTGGATATTTTGGATTTAATGCTTCAAGACGGGTTTGACCCCGATGTATATACTTATAATATTTTGATTTCTGGACTTGGTGAAGTGGGTGAAGTCCAAGAGGCTATTGAGCTTCTCAATCAGATGCTTGTAAGGGACTGCTCGCCTAATACAGTCACTTATAACACCATTATTAGTGCTTTGTGCAGGGAGAACCAAGTCCAAGAAGCTACTGAGTTTGCTCGTGTTCTTACAAGCAAGGGATTCTTACCTGATGTTTGCACTTTCAATTCTCTCATACAAGGTCTCTGCTTCACCGGCAAGTTCAACGTTGCAATGGAACTGTTTGAAGAAATGAAAAACAAAGGGTGCGAGCCAGACGAGTTCACTTACAATATCCTAATTGATTGTCTCTGTACCAAAAGGAGATTAGGTGAAGCTATGAACCTACTCAAAGATATGGAGTCAAGCGGCTGTGCAAGAAGCGTGATAACATACAATACTTTGATAGATGGCTTCTGCAAAGACAAGAAAATTGAAGAAGCAGAAGAGATCTTCGACCAAATGGAACTACATGGGGTTTCTAGAAACTTGGTCACCTATAACACTCTCATTGATGGTCTTTGTAAGACCAGGCGGGTTGAGGAGGCTGCTCAGCTTATGGACCAGATGATACTGGAAGGACTAAAGCCTGATAAATTCACATTTAATTCCATTCTTTCTCACTTCTGCAGAGCAGGTGATATAAAAAAGGCAGCAGACATTGTGCAAACCATGACATCAAATGGGTGTGAACCAGACATTGTTACGTACGGGACCCTAATCCAGGGACTATGTAAAGCAGGTAGGGTTGAGGTTGCAAGCAGGCTCCTCAGAAGTATTCAAATGAAAGGAATGGTTTTGACCCCACAGGCCTATAATCCTGTAATTCAGGCACTCTTCAGACGGCGGAGAACCAAGGAAGCCGTAAGACTCTTCAGAGAAATGGAGGAAACGGCTAATCCTCCTGATGCTTTTTCTTATAAGATTGTTTTCCGTGGTATTTCTTCTGGTGGGGGACCCATTCAAGAAGCTGTAGATTTTTCTATTGAGATGATGGAAAAAGGACACATTCCTGAATTCTCCTCATTCTACAATCTTGCTGAAGGACTGTATTCTTTGTCTATGGAAGATACGCTAATTAAGCTTGTTGGCATGATCATGAAGAAAGCAAACTTCTCAGACAGTGAGGTTACCATGGTTAAGGGTTTCCTGAAAATCCGGAAATACCAAGATGCACTGGCTACTCTTGGCCGTGTCTTGAATAGCAGAAATCCCAAAAGGACATACTGGGATTAAGAAATGATCCAAAGTAGAGGTCCAGAAACTAAGGAATCAAAATGTATCAGTTGCTTGCTATGATAGTAATCAGTGGCTAAATTTATCCACTCAGTTTACGGGAATCAATGGGTTCCTATTTTGGCCATCTCTGAAATAATCTCTTTAATGAGTTACAAGTCAAATAATGTGGACACTTCCAAGCTTCACGCAGTTCTCTAGTAGGCTTAAATAATGTATTCATATATTTTCCTTTTGACATTCCAATTTGAGCAAATATTTGCTAAGGTTGTCGCTGACCTCTGCTCTTAGATACATGGAACACAGAATTCTAACCGTATCAAAGCCATCTTACTAAGTTAATGCCAGAAATGGTGGTTTCTCTTGATCAGCATGATACATACAATGTACATGTTTATGCTTTCTTTAAAGTTTCTGAAGTTGTTTCTCGATGAAATTGTTGCTTTTTATCCACATATCCTTTTTCAGGGCTGTAAAGCTCACTCCAACAAGACTCGTGTTCTCTTTCCTTATAAAACATGAAACTTTCAATGCAGCAACAACCACCCAGTGAAATCTCACTAATGGGGTGTGGGGAGAGTAGTGTGTACGCAGACCTTATCCCTACCCCGAAGGAGTAGAGAGGCTGTTTTCGAAAGACCCTCAGCTCAAGAAAACAAAAAGACAAAAGGGCAAAAGGAGACAATATTAGTATCACCGCAGCAATCATAGGAAAAATAGGAACACCATGAAATCCAGAGAATAAAGATGCAAAGCAAAGAGAGACAATATTAGTATCACCACAACAATCATAAAAAAATAGAAATACCATGAAATCCAGACGAAAGATGCAAAGCAAAAGCGATAGCTAGTAAATAGGACCTGCACTGAAAAGCGAAATAGTAAGACACAACATTGCCACTAGCTATCTTAGACAAAAACCCTACATAGCTAGTCCCACAATGGTATGAAGTAAGGCACGACTCAACTACCTCCTAACCTATAACCCTAATACTCGACCTCCATATCTTCCTATCAAGTGTCATGTCCTCGGAAATCTGGAGCCT